AATACCAGTCCATTTCAGCTCACTAATGCCTAAGATATCGATGTTTATGCGTTCCATTTCATTTTTGACAATTTCCAGTTTTCCCAGATTCATACTTCGTACATTCCGTGTTCCAATTTTCAATAGATGCTTACAGCTGTCTCTCTTCATTTTGAGTTGTGCCCCATCAGCAAATGAAGGTCCTGCAGGCTTTTCTCCCACGGGCTTTACACCATTCGCGTCATCACGGTCAACTCTACTTTAAGGAGGCAGCTCTTCCCCAGTCACAGTTTTAGTGCCTTCCAGCCTGAGGGACTCATTTTCTGGTAGTGTTTCTCTGCTATTCATAAGGTTTTCAGTGACTAAATATTTCGAAAGGAGTTCGTCACTCTTTCTTCGTAGTCTGTCTTTGTCTGGAAGCTCATCTGAAACCTCTCCACTATTGGTGACCCTGCTGGTATTTAAAATACTGGTGGCATAGCTTTCAGAATCACAGCAACTCACAAGCCACCACAGTACAACAGACTGTACAGACAAGTGGGTACACAGATTTCTTTATTAAATTCCAACATATTAGAATGAAAGAGAAATATTTTTCAATTCTGAATAAGACTAGTATCGGCAAGTAAAAATAAGCCATTCTATGTCTGTGGACAGCTAATAAATTTGTTGGCCTTGTTGCTCCTGCCAAAATAATACTGGAATGAAATATTCTGTTAATTAATTTAAAAGGGTTTTATACAGGCATTCATTTACTCAATAAAACTTACTGCTTCACCTTCTAGTGTCAAACACTACAATAAGTGTTATATATACAGTGTGAGCAAAACTCTTACAGCTTTAACTTTATAAGCTTATAGTCTAATAGAAAAATAGACATTAAGTAAATAATCAGTACACACATCTAAACTGTGATAAATGTGAAAAAAGTAGAGTGGGATGAGAAAGCATAACAGGTGTTGTTAATTGTCATCAAGTCCGCTCTGATTCATAGCGACCCTGTATAGGGTTTCCAAGAGCAAACTGGTGGGTTGGAACTGCTGACCTTGTGGTTAGCAGTCCAGTGCTTATCCTAAGCATCACATCAGGGCTGAAGTTAGTATGAGTTTATTTTGGTGAAAAAAAATTTCATTTAATTTAGATTTTAAAATGGAGGCAGTATAAAATATTTTTCCATTACATTCCACTTTATTCTTTTGATAGGACTGAATTGCAATGGGCTGTATATGTAAAATACCCAGTGGATTTCAAAGCCTTGTTTCAAAAAAAGAATGTAAAATAACTCCCTAATAATATTTACATTATGTACACTTTGAAATGATATTTTGATATACAAGGGGACTTCAAAAGTTCATGGAAACTGGACAGGAAAGATAATGGAATTTCCCCCTTTGTATTAGGCCGGAGGTTCAAGCTCACCTTCCACTCCTTGGAAGCCCTACACAGGGTCTCTGTGAGGCGGAACCAACTTGATGGCACTTAGCAACAACAACATTAGGTCAAATAAATATTCATCTTAATTTCTTTTTGTTTTATAAAATGTGGCACAGGTGGCTTGTATTATATTTTTGTTGGGCAGCATTAATAGCATTATTTGTTCAACCATAAGGTATTCCATTGTACAACAGTTTTACTAGTTGCTGTTAAGTCAGTTCTAACTCATGATAAACCCCATGAGTGTTAGAGTGAAATTGTGTCCCATAGAGTTTTCGATGGCTAGTGTTTCAAAGTATATTGCCAGGCCATTCTTCCAAGGCACGTCTGGATGGACTTGCATCTCCAACCTTTCAGTAAGTAGCTAAGCACATTAACCATTTGTGTTACCAAGAAACATTCCATTGTATAAACAGAAAAAAACAAAACAAAACAAAAACCCAATGTCATTGATTTGATGCCAACTCACAGTGCCTCCTTAGGACCAGTAGAACTGCCCTAGAGCTTTCCGAGGTTGTCATCTGTATGGAAGCAGACAGTCACATCCTTCTCTTCTGGAGCAATTGGTAGATAAACCTCAGACCTTTTGGTTAGCAACTGAGCAGTTAACCACTGCGACACTAGGGCTCCTTGTTCATTGTATAGAGTTCCATGATTCGTTTAGCCAGTCTGCTGTTGCTCCACGCTTGAGTTGTTTTCAGTCTTATACTGACTGTCTTTAAATGTAATAATAGTGCTTAACCTTGTACATAGGAGCTCTGGTAGCGTAGTGGTTACGAATTGGGCTGCGAACCTTAAGGTCAGCAGTTCAAAACTACCAGCCACTCCGCGGGAGAAAGATGAGACTTTCTACTCCCATAAAGATTTACACCCTCGGAAACCCTGTACAGGGTCGCTATGGGTCGGAACCGACTCGACGGCACTTAACAACAACAACCTTGTACATGCATTACTTCATATATATGCAAGTGCATCTGTAAAATGAATTCCTAGAACTAGGGTTTCTGTTCAGAGTAAATGCATTTGTAATTTTGTTATTGCCAGATAGTCCCCAGAGCATTTGTACCAGTTTGTATTCCCAGCAGCCCTTTACTTCAAAAAGTTCATGGGAAAATTCCATTATCTTTTCATTCCAGTTTTATGAACTTTTTGAAGTTCCCTTGTATGAAAGTGTGCTAGTTTTCCACATATTGCCATTTTAAACTCCAGTATCTACTTGCTTTATATTAATAGTGAACAAATTTCCTTTTGCTAATTCTGGGAGACTTCTAAGAAGATATCACAAATGGTTTGGCTAGCTTTTTCTGCTCAAAAAAAGTAAAGAAAACTTAGTGTTGATAAAAACTCATATAATCCACATTTTAGAATTATTATTTGAATGAAAATGTCAAGAAATTCACCCACACTCTTTCTCCCTCATTTCCTCTATGGAAACAACAGCACTGATTATATTCAGATTTAGAAAGACATTCTGTGAACGCTTGAATGTATGAGGGTTAGCCTTTTCTTCGTTTCTAAGAGTTGGCGATCTCTTGAATGCTCCAGGAGTTCTCCACTGGTGCTGAGGACTAACTTTACATAGGGTAACAAAGTAGGCAAAGGAGAAAGACCATTTGCATGCAGTTTTTGCACACTGTCAGTTTATCAGTTCCCTGGATTCATTTTGCTGTATGGTAGACACATTCTAGATTAATGGGTTACTTAACTGAGGGACTCTACAGACAACATAATTGGAGTTTAAGAGCTGCTATAATCATTAGGTAGTCCATTCTGTGTACTTGATCAATAAGCTGAGAGGAAGTTCATATATCTACTTTAAAGAACCAACTCTTGTCCTTCTTTTGAGACTTGTGTGCCCTCTGCTGCCCTCTTTGCCTTTTTGGTTTATTTGTTAGTTTGTTTTCTGACTGAAATGAAGAACCTAATATTCAAAAATTACTCCTGCATGGGAAGCTGAAAATGATTCTCAGAAAGAGAAATTTCACTGTGTATTGGTCAGGGTGTATCTGATAAGGTAATAAATTAGTACAATGGCTACCAGAGATAACAAGTTACATTTGACAGTTCCTACAGTTCAAGAAAGAAATTTTATAGAAAATATAACTAGGGGCATTTACTCACTTTAATATTTTATTGATTTGTCAATATGAAATGATAAAAGCAGAAATAAGTTGAGACGAATAATGCTGACCATGTAAGAAGGACACGAAGACATGGGGAGTTATTCCAAGGGTCATGCTTAACAATTGGTGATGTTGAGTCATTTCTACTGTGCCTAAGTTACAGAATAAACACACAGCTTTCTAATAGGAAGCAGCTGCACAGAAGCTATTCTTCTCATTCCTTTTTGCTTGTATTGCTAATTTTGCCTAATTATTTTGTTTCAGGAAGGGTTTTCACTCATCAGCAGCAAGAACTGGCTGAAGATCGTAAGACGCATGGATTGTCTGTTGTTTGGAACAACAATAAAGGCAAGCTACTGTGTGGCCAACTATTGTAACCATGCATCCATACCTTTTCATCTTCTGTGTGTGCATGTGGTGGGAAACTTCTCTATGTAGGTAAAATGTGGCTGGGGGAGGATACACAAGTTTAAGAAAGGTTCACATTGGTTATAAGCAAAACAAGTTTTATGACAGGTAGGAGTCTTGATGTGGCACTGTAGGATAAAGCACTGGACCACAGGGTCGGTGGTTCAAATCCACCAGATACTTCTTGGAAACCCTATACAGGGTCACTATGAGTCAGAACCAATTTTGTGGCATTTAAACAAGAACAACGGAATGTGGAGAGGCAGAAACTAGTTAGCAAGATGCCATTGCTGTAGAGCCAGGCCTTTGATTGGTTTGTCAGTACCTGCCTGATTCTCTCTCCCTCAAACACAAATTGGGAGGAAGGGAGTGCATCATGGTCTCTTTTGCTCTTTGAATGTTAAAAAAGGTGTGTAGTTTGGAATGGTTCACTAAATAAGTCTTTTCATTTTTTCCCCTCTTTAGTATTAAAAAATAGAATTCCCTTTTTATTTACTTTCTAGCTGTAGTAAATGTAAAGAATGCTCCTCATGAAAGAAACATGCAGACTAATCACCTGGATTCTTTTCTTTCAGAAATAATGATAAAACCCAATCTGTTCGTATTCACTGAGTAGATCCTATTGAAGCTCAGGTGAAAAATGCTAATTTTTAATGGACTCAGAAAGACTCGTTAAGACTTAGCAGAGGTCTTCAAGAGCATCTAATGGAGGCATTCTTAACCGCCCCCCACCCCCAAGAAAGTCCCCAATCAGTTTCCAAGGCATTCAAAGGTCTGTGAATTTGCATGGATTTTCACTGATCTCTAACTGAAATTTATTGTTTCAAATTGTGAATCTAGGTAGTATTAAAACTTTGCACCAATGGGAATCCCAGGTATTTTCGTGTCACATTACAGTTTCTCAGATCTCTGAAAATGTCATTTATGCTTATCACTTGCTCAGAACTAGAGTACTAGTGTGATGCTGTAGGATAAGCACTGTGCTTCTCATGTCAAGGTTGGCTGTTCAAATCCATCAGCAGCTCTTCAAAAACTCTAAACACAGGGTCACTATGAGTTGGAACCAACTTGATGGAACTTAACAACAGTGGCATCCTTGACATCTTCCCAGCTTGAATGCTAATATGTGTTTAGATATTAAGTACATGCCTGTTAATTAGATATTCTTGACCGTGGAAGGCATTACTTTTGTTACTAATTTTAGCAGGATTGCATATTAAATTTTATCAGATGCTTTTTGAAACCTATGAAGATCATGGTTTTATCTCTCTTTTAATCTGCTGATATGCTGTAATATTGACCAGCAGTCTTATTTGGAATCCTGATGTGGTGCTGCAGGTTAATACCTGGACTGCAAGATCAGTTTGAACTGCAAGGTTGGCAGTTCAAGCGCACCAACCTTTCTTCAGAAGCCCTATACAGGGTCTCTGTGAGTCAGACACAACTCCATGGCACTTAATAGCAACAACACACAACAGTCTTTTTTGCCCAAATCTGGCAAGAGTGTTTCTTTGGCACTTGCCTTGGGTACCTTTTAGTTATCAAGTATTATATGACAAGCACCACTGTTTCAGCTGACAGTTGGAAGAAGTATTTTATGACAAATTTTCACTCCTCTCACACAATTGAATGTAACTTCAGTTGTGTGGGTAACAAGCACTGTGTTTCTGTTTCTCTCTGGACTGACATGACTAGATTAAGTTTTGTCCACTTAGAACATGTGCTTCTTTTATTTCAGTGAATATGATTAAAATTTTTTTTTTTTTTAATGACCTGGTCTTCTCTCAGTTAGTGACATATTTTCTGAGTTTCTGAAACAAAAAGAAGCCCAGATCTTCACAGGGATTTCCTGGGTGGTGCAAACTGTTAACATTGGGGCTGCGCACCCAAAGGCTGGCATTTTGGTCCTACTCAGAGGCATCTTGGGAAAAAGTCCTAGTGATCTACTTCTAAAAACTGAGTCATTGAAAAATCGTATGAGCCATAGTTGTACTCTGACACACATGGGGTCAGCATGGTGAGAGTCGGCTCTACAACTGGTTGGTTTCATAGTAGACATATGATTCCCAGTCCAAAGGTTCAAGGAAATAAACTGAAACCTCACTACTTCTCACCCCAAGTAACTTACTGAGGAATTGTATCCTGATTTTGTCTGTCACAGAGGATTAAGGTTGCCGATTAAAACCCACCAGCTACTCTGTGGGAGAAAGATGAGGCTGTCTGCTCTGGCAACTATTTACCACCTCAGGAACCCCATGGAACATTTCTATTCTGTTCTGTAGGATCACTGAGAGTCATAATTGACTTGATTGCAGTTATTGTCTTTTGATTTCAAATAAAAAAATATAGTGAAATTCTTCTCTGGCTAAGTCCCTTTTCTGTAATTCCCCTCACATTTTCTACAGTAGAATAAAGCATGGCATGCAGTATCCTAATAGTAGAATGATGAAACTACCACCAGTAGAAAGAATTAACTGGATTTGAATCCTCTAATGGAGTTCCGGACTCCTGGTGTGGCGCTGTAGGATAAGCACTGGACTGCAAACCACAAAGTTGGCAGTTCAAACTCACGAGGTACTCCTCAGAAACCCTATACAGGGTTGCTATGAATTGGAACCTACTCAGCAGAACTTAACAACAACAACAACAACAACAGCAACCATCTCCTTGGAGTCCTGTGTGGCATTGTAGGATATGCACAGGACTAATAACTGCAAGGCTGGATTGGTGCTGTAGGATAACTGTGGTGCTATAGGATAAGTACTATACTGCTAACCACAAGATTGGCAGTTTAAACCTACCAGCTGCTCCTTGGAAACCTTTTACAGGGTTGCTGTGAATTGGAACTGACTGGACGGTGCTTAACAACACTACCAGTGTCTCCTTAGTTCGCCTCCAAGGCTGTTTCCCAGGTACCTCATTTCAAAGTTGTGATGCTGTCCTTACAGCGTCTGCTCTGCAGCCTGCACCATAAGGCTCTTTGCTCAGACTTTGACTTTTGGCAAGATGGCAGACTAGGCAGACACACTATGCAGACCCTCTATTAACAGAGATATAGGAGGCCAAATGAAACAGACATAGATGAAAATTCTGGAACCCTTAGGAAAGGGTAGAGAAGTGAATTGAGTGGTTGCTGGGAGGAGAAGCTGAGCAGGATGGCAAGAGAGGTAGACTGGTAAACAGTTGACCCGAGGCAGTGCTACCATTTTATGAGCAGCTTTGGCAACAGAAGACCTGGCAGAGCAGATTCACACAGGCAATGAGGAAGGTGCGATGCCTTCTTTTCCTCCATATTCCCCTAGTAACCAGAAGTGTGACCGGCTCCCACCCACATCCATTCCCAGTGCAGAGCCAGCTCCCTGGAGTTCATAGCCATGTGGCTGGTAGTCATGCTAGTGTGGGGTGGAGGGCTAGCTGTGCCACTTTGGTGTGCTGCTGTGATGCCTGGATTCAAGCAAGAGCAACTGTAGACCGCCAGAACACTTAGAGACACCAGACCAGCATTTGACCTGTCCCTCTGCTTCCAGCTGCCCTGTGGTCCTAACAGACACTGAAACCAGCTCCATCAAGGGCCACCATAAACTACTTCCGGATTCAGTGCCCAAAACTAGATAACGCTGAGGCCAGTAGGAACTCCCATCTAAGGCCAGGAACTCTGCTGTCACACCCTGCCCACACCTACCTTATGAGCTTCTTGCCTTGCAGGAGCCCCCAGAGTAGCCTCCTCTCCAGGTTCAACAGCTGCGTGACTTTTTTGGTTTTGGGTTTCATTTTTTCCTTTTGTTGTTTCATTGGTTTTGTTTGTTTATTCGTTCTTCTCCTTCTTCTCTTCCTGAATTTTATCCTTTCTGTCTTTACTTTTGGTTTTCCTTCATTTCTTCTGTTTCTCATTTCCCCTCTTCTTTTCCCCCTGACTTGATCTTTCTTTACTACTTCTCTGTTTTCATCTTTCCTCTCCCTGGTTTTTCTAAAAATATATATATTTTAAATTTCTTCCTTTTATTCCCTCTCTTTTCTTCTATAGCTCAATTTCCGTGTTCTTATTTTGTATTTTATATATTTTTTTATTTTGGTTGTTGCTTGTTTTTATTTATTCTCTTTTCACTGTTGGTTCCTTGTTTGCTTATTGTTTTGGTTTCTTGTCTACATGTGAGGGGTTTTCTCTTTCCCACCTGACAGGAAACAGCAACTGTGCCCAGGTTACCCAGCCACAGTAGTACCCTCTGCAACTCTACCCACTAGGCAAGAGCTAATACTAGCTCCTATACCATCTTATCAATGATCAACAGCAACCAACAATAGCCAAAAACACCCTAAACTGAGGGGCATGAATGGCAAATGAGAATGGTGTGTACGCTTCTATTCTCTAACTACACTACAGGAGACAGTTTATGAGAGCCTAAGAACACAGTAACATGCAATTATCAATTAGATACAAATACCACAGTGCCCTGGAGACAACAGACAATTTTAGCTCACATGAAGAAACAAGAGAGAATGGCTCAAACAGATGACGAAGATGCAGAGCCAGAAAACGTTTCTGAAGAAGAAAAGGTAATAGAACTATCTGAGAAAGAATTAAAAAGAGTGATACTTAGGTACCTTCAAGTGATCGACAGAAAGATTGAGGAAATCAAGTAGAACACAGAAAAAAATTTAAATAATTCAGGAAAACACTCCAAGGACAAACAATAAATATAAACTTTAAAACAATACAAAACCTGCTATTAGAAATCCAGGAGATTAGTACTAAGATTTCAGAAATAGACAATACATTGAAAGGACAAAGGAGAAGATTTGAAACAATGGAAGCCCGATTAGTGAGCTTGAAGATAAATCTTTCAATATATGCTAGAAGATTGATCAGAAAATATAATGGAAAAGTATGAAGAAAGCTTAAGAGTTATGTGAGACACTATTAAGAGGAGCAACTTACAGGT